AAAACAAACGCTTATCCTTTGTGGGGATAAGCGTGAGTCTTGCGAGTATGTGTTTTTTGTTGATCTTACTCTTTGCCATCCAGAGAGAGTATATCTGAAGAAACCATCTTGTCAATTAAATTTTTGAAAGAAGTTTTTGGCTCCCATTCAAGCTCTTGGCGAGCCTTAGTTGAATCACCAAGAAGAAGCTCAACCTCTGCTGGGCGATAAAATTTTTCATTGATTACCATCAGCACTCTGCCAGTTTCTTTTTGTTGAAAGATTTCGTTAATGCTAGAACCTTTCCATTCGCCATGAATACCAGCAGCTTCAAATGCGAGTTCAACGAATTCGCGGATTGTGTGGGTTTCATTGGAAGACAGAACGTATTCGCGTGGTTCTTGTTGATTAAGCATTTGCCATACGCCAATCACAAAATCTTCAGCGTCCGACCAATCTCTTTTAGATTCAATATTTCCAAGTTCTAAAAGATTGTATGCTTCTTCTCGATCAATCGCTTGTTTGATGCGAGCCACAGCTTTGGTAATTTTGCGAGTAACAAATTCTTCGCCGCGACGAGTGCCTTCATGATTAAACAGCCATCCTTGAATAGCATAAAGATTGTAAGATTCACGATATACTTTGACCAAATGTCTAGCAGCAGCTTTTGCTGCGCCATAGGGACTGCGTGGTCGAAGCGGATGCTCTTCAGATTGTGGGGCTGTAATAACATCACCAAACTCTTCGGATGAACCAGCATTGTAATATCGACAATGAGGTGCGAATTTACGAATAGCTTCGAGCTGAAAAAGCACAGCCATACAATTTGTATTCATGTGATTAACTGGCATTGTCCAGCTATTACCAACAAAAGAATTCGCGGCAAAGTTAATAAAATAATCTGGCTGCTCTTTGCGAATTACGTCTTCAACATTTTGCGGATCAGTAACATCTAAATCAATTAGCTTAAATCGCGTATTGTTTTTGAGATGCTTAATGTTTTTGTGGTTAGTTACGCTTAGCCTACGTGCGCCAGCGATGATTGTATGGTCGGTATTTTTAAGCAGATAGTCAGCCATAAAGCTGCCGTCTTGACCTGTTACGCCTGTTATAATTACTTTTTTCATATTGATTTTGTTCATCTATCTAGTGTTAACTAATATTACTTATTTAATCAAAGAAATCTAGCTGTTTGCATAATTCTTTATTTTTTATATAGCCCCATTGTTGAGCGCCTCTTTTGTCTGAAAATTTAACAAAAAAGTCACTAATAATATCGACAACTTTACCTATTTCAAAAAATTTTGAGGTTTGGTAGACTTGTCCTTGTGCATACCCATCTTTTGAATACGGTAATTCTCCATATTTATTTATGATTTCTTTTATTTTTTGTTTTGATGAGCCAAAAATTGAAACCGATGCGTGTGGACCATACATCTTATGAGAGTTTTCATCGTTTTCGCTGGAAACTGCGCAAATCATTGATGTATTCAAATTTTCATTAAACTTAT